GATAATTGTAACAATTAATGATTATAAACAGAATTACTAAAATGAAACAGCCTTTAAGAATGTGTATATGTTAATTGTACCAAGAAATTTAAAGAAGTCTATTAATTAAAGAGATACTTAATGGTTGAGTATTGGTATACTTTGGTTTGTGAAAAAAGTGTGCTAGCATTTGTGAATTTTAAAAAATAGACTTAACTTTAAATACAGAGTGGTAGATTACTCTTTAAAGAAATCCTATAGTAGATCCTCTTATAAAATACAGAATCATATCTAATTTTCTGTGATTTAGAAGACTATATTATATGAGGTTTATGTGTATCTTGAATGGTCACTGGACATCCACTGCTAAGTAAGAGATTCCTCTAAAAAATTCAAGGTATTTAGGAATTTTAATTTTTTAAATAGCTACAAACTAGTTAATGTGTACATTTTGTTGGAATTATAGCTAGAACTATGTCAGTATGATTTTTTGAAATATTCTCTCCCCTAAAAAATCTTCCTTTTAATCTTGAATACTATTTAACAATTGTGGTGAACTTTATCCATTGTCTGCCACATACTGTGCTGGGCTCCACAGATGGAGGTACATACACGACCAAATAAATGGTGTTTCTACTTAAAGGAGCTTAAATTAGTTGGGGGAAACTATATATAAAGAAAATGAAAAAACATTGAGAAAATTGCCCCATAAGATGTTTGAACAGAAAGATATGCAAAAAATATGCCCATAGCCTAATGGTTCCCATGACTGGAAGTAAAAAAAAAAAATTTCCTATTCTGATACTAAAAATTCCCATGTAGGCCCAAGCCATATCCCATACCCTTCAGGACCTTCAGTGGCTCTTTCTTTCTGGGAAAATCCACATTTGAGAACAAAATCAATAGTCTAGGATTTGTTCTACTTGGTCACAAATGGTACAAATAATGACAGATTCTATAATAAATTTTTCCAATTGGCCTGGGATTTGAGTGTCATTTCTTTCCGTTGTTGATCCTGAGAGACTAACAGTGTTTTGCTAACTCCAAATGGATATTTATAATGACTAAAAAAAATACAGATGCACACACAGCCAAGTCTATGTGCTAACAGTAGAACATTTCACATGTAACCTGAGTAGGTATCTGATTGGGGTGCCATAGCACTACTGATATTGAAAGCCACACCAGTCATGTAATTATCAACGTCTTGGTCATTGTTGACCCTTCTCTCTCATCCTCCATATCCTGGCAGTTGTCCAGTCCTGCCCAGTCTTCCTCAATTCACACATAAAACCTGCAGTTGGAATTTTCTTAAAATGAAAAATGAAATTCTAGCCATAGTTAGAAATATTTAGTCATTTAATCCAACATCCCATTTGACTCATTACATTTAATGATTCATTCATTTTGTCAGCAAGGATCTATAATTCCATGTCAGGCACCAGGCTAGCAATTCAGGGGTGACAAACTAGGCTATTGAGTTTATATCTACTGAAGCACACATTATCAGCAAATCTCACAAACACATGTAAAAGTACAATTTTTAAAGAATGAAATCTTGCCATTTGCAACGAGGTGGATGGAGCTAGAGGGTATTATGCTAAGGGAAATAAATCAGTCAAAGACAAATACCATATGATTTCACTCATATGTGGAATTTAAGAGACAAAACAGATGAACATAGGGGAAGGGAAGGAAAAATAAGATAAAAACAGAGGGAGGCAAACCAGAAAATACTCTTAACTCTAGGAAATAAACTGAGGGTTGCTGGAGGGGAGGTGGGTGGGGGGATGGGGTAACTGGGTGTTGGGCATTAAGGAGGGCACTTGATGTAATGAGCATTGGGTGTTATGTTATATATATTATATATACTGATGAATCACTAAATTCTATCCCTAAAGCCAATAATACACTATATGTTAACTAAACTGAATTTTTAAAAAAAATTTTTAAGTGCAATTTGACAAGTTATGGGAAGGAAAGTTTATGGGAGTACCTACACTGGAAGAGCCTTTTAGGCATGGGGAAGAGCACACACAAATGCTCTGGTAGGCAGGAAGAACTGAGGAGGCCAGTCTGAGAGAGCAGAAAATGAGGGGTGAAAGGTATGAACTGAAGCCAGAACATGTAGGTTTTTGCAGCCACTGTTAAAGGCTTTCTTCCTAATCCTAACTGCAGCAGGGAAGACATTGAAAAGTTTTAAGTGAGGAAAAGGAATGACTTGATCAGGTATATGCTTGCCTAAGACCGCTCTGGGTACATTTTGGAGAGGGCATGGGACAGGGAGCCAGTGTGGACATGGGAGATCCCTTGAGAGGCTCTGTGATCATCCAGGAGAAGGATGACGGTCACTTGGACTGCAGTGCTGACCAAGGAGGTAGAGAGAAGTAGACTTGGGTTGGCTATGGAGAAGGTGGAGAGAGGAGTCAGGAATGACACCCAGATCCTAACTCTTCAAACTCTGTGGATTGTGGTGCCATTCACTGGACTACATTCTCCATTTGTGTCTTTAAGACAAGGAAGAGGAACTGAGCAAGAAAGCCACTGGATACAAGGCATGGAACTCAGAAGAGAGGACTAGGCCAGAAATAGAAAGTAGGGAGTCCTCTGGTATCTGAATCTGCTTTATAAGAGCCAGAATGACAGAAAATTCTCCACCACAATGACCAGACATACTTAAAGATGTTCCTCATGTTGGACTAAAACCTTGAAGTCAGTTCTTCTCATTAGTTCTGATTCTGCCCTTTGGACAAATGGAATCTCTCTTCTACCTAACAGGGCTTCAAGAATTTGAAGAAAACTGGAACGGTGTATCTCCTCACCACTTTGCTAGCCAGCCACCTTAGATTTTCTGTCCAGCAAACATTCTTTCAGATCATGTCAACAGTCTGGCCCTTGCCCATCTCTTCAGCTTCATCTACTGCAAAAATAAAACCAGACCCAGAAAACACCCATTTACCCACATCATATTACTTCTACTCAGATCTAAACAAGTGGAGCTTCCTAAGCATGGCGTGTTTTCACAAACTTTGGTGCCTTTTTTCATGCCATTGCAGAAGAGTGGTTTTTAACTCCACATGTAAAGTTACAACTCTGCAGCAGAGGCTAAAGAAACCACCTACCTAACTATAGGAATTTTTTCCAGGGAATAGGTCAGACAGGAAGTAGCCAGTAGCTCATATATATCCAGGACTATAGGACAAATGTGGACTTACTTGGAGCCAATATCATAATATTAAGGTTGGTCCTGTCTTGCAAGTGGGCATAACAGAAGGTTTTCTAGATTGCAGGCAGTTTTTTGAGTTAAGGTTCATCACCCTCACCTGCAGTCACAAAGAGCCCCACAGCTTCATCCAATCAGGAGTTCCTTGGGCAGCCTTCCATGAGGTCATTCAGAGACCCAGACTCCTTTCACCTAGTGGTTCTTCTCCAGGCCTTATAGCCCTCCCCCAGATCTTCTGCGTCTTGTCGAGATGAGGGAAGAGAGAGTATGGGGGATTATGCGGGAGGTTTTAGGGGCCAGGAAGTAGTTTACACGTCTCACATTTCACTTCTCACGTCTCATTAACCAGAAGTCAGTCACATGACCCATATAACTGCAGGGAAGGCTCAGAAATGTAATATACCTGTGTGCCCAGAAGGGAAAGACAGCAAGGTTTGGTCAGCACACCTGCCTTATCCTGGAGGTCCTATCAGTTTGTTCTCCTTCTCTCCCAAAATTTTCAATGATACCCTATCACCTACCAAATTTAGAATAGGCTTTTAGCGATTTAAGGCTCTTTTCAGTGTGACCCAAACCCATCCTTCTAGCTAAACTGGTAATTTCATTGCTCCCCAAGCATACCCTACCAGTTCACTCTTGTCTTTATTCACTTTCTTCTCTCTAGGGCATCGTACATCTTTTATTCTTGAAATCTTATCAGTCATTCAAACTCCATTCAAGAGGTCACTTACTCTTTTTTTTTTCCATCATAGTAAGTGTACTCCCCATCCCCTATTTCACCCTTCCTCCCCATCCACCTCCCCTCTGCTAACCATCAGTTTGTTCTCTAGAGTTAAGAGTCTGTTTCATGGTTGTCCCTCTCTCTCTTTTTTTTTCCCCTTTGCTCATTTGTCTTGCTTCTTAAATTCCACATATCAGTTAGATCATACAGTATTTGTCTTTCTCTGACTGACTTGTTTTGCTTTACATTATACTCTCTAGCTCCATCCATGTCTTTGTAAATGGCAAGATTTAGTTCTTTTTATGGCTAAATAATATTCCATTGTATATATGTACCACATCTTCTGAATCTGTTCATCTATCACTGAATACTTGGACTGCTTCCATAGTTTGGCTATTGTAAATAATGCTGCAATAAACATAGAGGTACAGGAATGCCTTCAAATTAGTGTTTTTGTATTTTGGGGGTAAATACCCAATACTGTGATTGCTGCATTATAGGGTAATTCTATTTTTAATTTTTTGAGGAACAAGAGGTCACTTTTCTTCATTTCCACTGAGCTGCTTTATGTTACGGTTACCTGTTTACTTGTACTCTCACCTCCCTTGAGGGCAAGCAATGTATCTTAGCTATTTTGTATCACTGACAACTTCTAGGAAAAGCTCAAGAGTGCTCAATCAAATATTTGTTCCATTGAGTTAAATAGTTTTATTTAAATTATTTCCTTAAAGAGAAAATAAGATATATTTTTTAGTAGCTTCCTTTCTTTTCTTATCTCTCTCTCTCTCTTTGAGGAAGAATATTTATGGCAGTGGTTCTCAAATGACAGCATAAGAACCATTTGGGGGAACTCATTAAAATTATAGATTTCTGCCGCTCCTATCCAAGATTCTAATTCTATAGATCTGGTAGATCTAATGTTGGGCTTCAGTATCTGCATTTTTTATAAGTGACCTGTAGTGGGGAAGGGGGATACAGATCATATGACACCTGGATTGTACTTTCAGAAACATTGCAACATGGTGTTTGTCATTATGCCCATTAATGGACTATTATTACCTTCTTTGAACAAAACAGATCAGTTCATTAACAGGGGAACAGGTAGCATGCGGAACAGTAAAAATCAAGATGTCTGTCATATCGCTTTCGGATCCAGAGTTCTGGGACCACCTCCACTCTCTGGCAGAAGGAATAACATGAGGATATCCAGTGAGGTAGGAGCAAGGTCTGAAGAGCTTGTCTAAGCGTGAGGGGCATGGGAGGAGAAGGGTTCTTTCCCAGTGCACGGGTGGTGGCGGGGGAAAGAGGCAGAGAGAATACATGCCAAAAGCATAAGGCTTGAATAAATTTGGAACAGAAATTCTGGATTTTAAAAGACCTCAAAACGGTTTTATTTTTGTCATGTCAACACAATTACCATTTCCGAGTATTCTTTTGATTAAATATGTTCACAAAACTTAAAGGCAAATATATATGAGCACATTTTGTGGTCTCCTTCAAAAAGGAGTTGGACCTTCACCAGATACCTTACAATGAACAGATTCTCAAATGTTATATTTTTATTTTTAATTTCCTTGAATTTCTGACACACGCAGCGATTTTCAGTTCAACTCCTACCTACTAAAGATGGATTATAAGCACATTTTAATTTATGTGTCTAGAAAACTTGTTTGTCTTCTATTTTGTCTCACATTATATTTCTCCTTCCATTTCTTTCTAATTTTCTGCTATAATTTCCCTCTCCACCAACTTTCTAACCTTCTCATTTCCTCTAGTTTCTTTTCTCACTTTTTATTTGTCCAAATATTATTAGTCTCTGTAAATTCTACAGGAAATAAATGCAATTCCCATATTGTAAAATGTGCAGATTAATTCCTGTCCCTACAGACAGTAAGATCCGTTGGGTCCAGAAATAACCGATCATGCCAACAGTCTGTGACTGAGGACTGTGTTAGCAGTGCAGAGATGTCAGCCTTGCTGATGCCGGAGTCTGAGGAGCAAGCAGATAAAGAAAATATTCGCCAAATAAAGCAGACTATACCTGTTCGTGGTAAGAATCCTACATAAGTGTCAATAGCTAGGGGAAAATAGCAATGCTCTTGTGAAGATAAATTTGAAGTTAAATTCTTGATTAGATCTTAACATCCAGAGAATTATCATTTAAAAATGAAAAAGATGGTGGATATTGAAATCTGTTTCAAATTCTTATACATATATTCTCTTCTGGAATCTATCATTCTCTCTCTCTTTTTTTTAATACTTATTTATTTATTTATTTATTTAAAGTAGGTTACAAGGGGCTTGAACTCATGACCCTGAGATCAAGACCTGAGCTAAGATCGAGTCGAATGCTTAACCGACCGAGCCACCCAGGCGCCCCACCTATCATTCTCTTTATATTCTCTTTATTCCATTATTTCGAATTGCCATAGTACCCTGTTTTTATTTTATGATGACTGGTGAGGAAATAACATAGCATTCCATAATAACTATATTTTGGGAACTCCACTTGCATTTTAAGTTTTCTTAATTTTATCTTTTAATCTCTTCCATTTGTAAAGTGCTTTTTATTTTCTCCTGTTGATGCACAGAGAACCCTGTTGGTGAAGAAGAGACTTTTGTCCCAGTTTGTAGATTGAGGGTTCATGGCTAACAGAGAGGTAAAATGATTTTAGTTTGTAATCATCGGAAAGAATTGAGACCAGTACCAAAGGCTTATCACTCACTATAGTTTTTCCATTCTTGCATGTCTGACTTTTGTGAGAGTTGAAAAGGAAGGCATTTGGGTTCATTTTATTTGATTTAGAGATTAATGATCACTATTACAGACTATATTTCTCATACAGTACAAAACTTAGAGAAGGACATAAAGACCATAGATACTCAGTCCTGGCTCTACCACCATCTGTAAGACCTTGATCAAAATTCCTAAACCCTGTGGGCCTCAGTTTGCTCATCTGTAAAATGGGGATAAAATTGCTACTGGCAATAGTAGTAGTAATGAAGAGTGACTGCCTCAAAGGTCATTGTGAGGATTCAACAAGAAAAACCAGTCAAGCACATCATATTGTACCAAGAAATTAAGCGTTCAGTAAATATTAGATGCTGCTATGAATGCTGTTAATTATTATGATGATGATTACACAATTAAATTACACTTAGGAGTTCTTTTTCAGGTTTGATCGCAGTTCTGCAGGGTTCTTTAGGAAACTACCTTCCAAGCTGTTGATGAATCATACTTATTGACTTCCTCTATCCAAGGAAGCAATTATTTTTCTATATTAGCAATCCATTTCATTTTTTATATTTTTTAATATAGCATGTTGTATGTATAATTAATCAAATTACCTGTAACTCTCTATAAGGTTATATTACATGAATAAATTGTCTCAGTAATTTTGAAAGCCTGATACAATCCCAATAATGGAATCTGAACAAATGCCTATTTTCCAAGAAGGAATAAGTTGTGGTTTTGATACAGCTTTATATGATGTCACAATGATATGAAGATTCTCATTATAGCTACAATTATATTTACTGAGTTATTTCAAACCATATAGTACTTCCTGTTCTGGCTTTTTGTTCTTTGATATGAAAATGTACCAGCTGATCTGCAAGTTATGCATCCACATCCCCCTCAAGAACCATCAGCAGATAAGAATAATAGCAGGAGAAGATTATGGTTAAAGAGCACCAGCAGAGAAAGGACAGAGGCACACAGCGGTATGGCACTAATTCAATACTATCTTATATCTGTGTATTATGCAGAGCAATGGAATCTCTCTCTGCAGGTTGTAAATTTCAAAGGATTACGGACCAATTTGTTTAAAATATAAATGTCTTTTCTACAGGGATTATGGAAATCAAATCTTCTGCAAAAGAATTGCTCTAGAGCCCTAACAGAGATTTGCTGGATTAAATAGTACCACAGAAGTAAAGGACTTCCCTACTTCTACTGTCAAAGGCGGAATAAGCTTAAATTATTGTTTTTTAGAAACAGCCCAAATTTGATAGAGGAAGTTCCTGCCTGCAGACTTTACTAAAATTGAATTTAACTCATAATTTTTCATGTTTCATTTATATCTCCTCTTTTTAAACTGGGCCCTTTTCAGATATATATATAGATATATATATCTATATATATGTGTGTGTGTGTGTATTTTTTTTTTTTTTACATTTGCTGTCTCTCCCTTTGGACTCCATGCCATCTAATAGAATGTAGGTTAAAATTTCAACTCTTTGCAACCAATAAAGCCTTAGATAAATATAGGTGGCTATTATAGTTATCCCTTTGAATATTGGATTTGAGGCATTTAAGTATAGATCTGTCTGCACATGCATTCATATATCCTGAGTCAAGCCCAGAGTATATCATGTACACATCTGTTAGCATAATTTCTCAAAAATGAGGAGTTCTTAGGTAGGCTGAAATTCAGCTTGTTAGGATTCATGTTATTTTTATAAAATAGTAGATAGAAAAGTTAATTCTGTGTCCATTTTCTTAAGATGCTGAAGGAAAGTGCTTGGTTTAAAATTTTAAGTCAGGTTGTGTAAGAATTGTAATTTAAAGAAAACACACTCCATTTTATGTGGAACCAAAGGGAAAAATACAGGACCCTTTAAAAATAATATGGGTTTTGGAATTCCTTTTATTGCATATTGTAAAACTTAAATCTAAAATGTCCCCATGCAAATATCAAGGAATTTAAAGATGAACCTCTACAAAAATGCAGCTGAGTTCATCTTTGAAAAATTCTAGTGGAAGAGAAAAGAACTGCAGATAATCTGTATCATCACCTCTAATGTGCTTTTCAGTAATCATGTAGAAAAGCACACTGCATTAATAGCATTCTTCAAAATGAACTTTTATAAAAATCAAAAGAAATAACATCGTGAAAAATATTTATTCCAATAAAGGCAGTTCTTCAGGAAATAACAGGAATGAAGATAAAGCAACAGTTGCCCTCAACAGTGGGTCCCAACAAAGCACAGAGATGAACCCCAGCTCTCCAGCACTGCAGTCTCCTGATCAAGCAGGTTGGCATCTTTAGTCCACTATAATCGTTAATAATTGATGAAATATCAATATGTTTAACCCAGTCATTTTGAGAAGTTGTGATGCAGTCATTTGCTAAAATCTGTCATTTTTTGGTAAATCTCCTCTTAACCCCAATTGCATGTCAGACTTTAATGGATGAAAGGGCATTTTTATTTCCAAGTTTCAATGCACCAGTTATCCTGTTCAGAAGGAAAGTTTGAAACTTTGAAGTTTTCACAGGGCATTGTCACTGTCCCCAAAGATTACCTATTGTTGCAAGTCTCCAGTCCTCTTTATAATGGAGATGGTTGGAGTGTAGAGCATTGAGCCCATCAACATATCTTTCCTAGCAGGTGTGTGGTACTTTTACAAAGGCGAATTGTTTTTGAGCAAGGGAAAAAGGAAAATAAATGAAAATTGTTTGTAGTTTGTCAGTCTTATTTATGCAATGTTGAAACCTTCATTAAAATGTTAGGCGCAATTAGTGTCTCTAGCATAAATCTGACTGTGTAGAAAAACTAATTAGATGTTTAGGTGATCATTCTTGCATTTATCTTGTTTGCTGCAATATTGTGATTACACAGTAATTTACATATTTTCCTAAGAAAACACACCAAATTATTCATTACAATTGATATGGAAATACTTGAGGTAAAACTACAAATTCCAAAAAAGCATGTGGTGGTGAGATAATTAGAGTTCGTTTGGTGTAGAAACACTCCTTTTACTTTGACTTTTTGACAGTTAATAATATGTTTGGCAATAGGTCATGCAAGTTTTTGAATTGCATAATGAAGATTCCCAGTATCTTGTCCTCCAATTTTCTTTACTATCAATGTACTTAATGCAGCCCATTGGTTTTTATGATCTTTTTCAACATTTATTTATTAATAAAGCATCTACTGTGTTTACAAAACATCTGCTATGTGCTTAACACCATGCAAAAGGATTTGCTGTCCAAAAGAGGACAGCCCAGTGAATCTGTTTATTTCACCTGCTCACGGTATACTGACTTCAGACCCTCCACATTCCCTTATGAATGTGGTCCAATGAAGTAGATTCAGCCTGCTCTGGGCCACTTACTTACAGAAAATGTAAAAGTTACAGATTTTCTCTAAGAAATGTATATTTGTTACCCTTTTTATAAGCAAGTTATATTATATAATGATAATCTTAAGTTAAGAAATGAATACATTATGATGAATATGATTTTATTTGTGCCATTAATGTTATTTTTATTAAAGGTCTTTTTGTTTGTTGCTTTTGAACTGTAGGCTTTAGAGTTTCAAGTCAGCAAATCTTAGATATCTCTTAGTTACTTTTCTTGTGAAGATAGATATAGCAGGATTCAAGAGTCGGGGTAAAATTACCATGTCCACATTTTGGTTCTGCTGAACACAGATTTTTGTTAAGATTTTCACCATTGACATAATGCAGCAAAAAAAGTAAATTTTAAGGAAAATAGACTAAGTTGAGAAAAATGCAATCTTTTCCTGCTGTCATTCTAAAGAAGAAAGTAAGCATGCTTTTAATGACATTCATTATAAATATTTGTCTGTGTCAGTTTGCCTGGATCGTAGTTAGAAAAATCTATCTCAATGTTACATAAAAGATTAAAATCTTTTCACTATGTTGTACATCTGAAACTAACATAACATTGTGTGTCAACTAAATTTCAAAAAAAATTTTAAAGTTCAAAATTTTTTAAGGTTTTGATTAAAATGTATCCCAGTAGTAGTATACAGTATTTTTAATCAAAACAAATAATGTTGTGCAAAAAGATTTATGTATCAAAACATTCTCTCCTATAATTAAAGATCTTTTTTACCAATCACATTAACAAGTGTTTCTGTGGATTTACTATTAGTGGAAAAGTCTACTCAGTTTAGTCTATGAATTGTCCTGTTTCAGTCAGTAGAATGGAAAGGCCTGTTAACCTTTTCATGGTTTCCTCTCCTCCATGATTTGTAATCCAAACAATGCCCAGTTATTTTATTTAAAGAAACATTAAATATTCTGTCCTCCTGCGGTTAAAAGAAGATATTAGTAACTCAAACCCTTTTAAATTTGGAAGATTTCTTCCCTCCTGGAATGTCAAATTAATGAGGCTGTGCTATGAAGAACTTGCTGCAAGACAGGTGATAATTATTTCAGACTTAAAAATTTCCTGACCAGTGTTTCAACTCAGACAGAGAGGAAGTGCAAATAAGTTTCCTGTAGCTATAGGCACTGATCTATGGGTTAAATGTTTAGCAGGTCACAAGATGGTGGATAAATTGCATTCCTTGGCTTCTGCATTATTTGATAAATCTCTGTTTCAACCCAAGAAATTTTAACCTAACTACCTGCCTTAATATAACACTGATGGAACACTCCTCTAATTTTTGTCATCTTTCCCAAATGTCAGATGAGTGGATATTTCCTGAAAATGATGATCGCATTTCCCATTTGGCGTCCAGCAGACAGTCTCTCCTTCTGGATGATGATTCCTGCCACACTTCACATCTGTGGCTGGAAGCCAGCAAGGAGAGTGAACATGGCCAACTGGCAGAGGAAACCCAGGTTGTTCCAAAGGACATTTTCACTTTTTCATCAAGACCACGATCAGCACCTCATGGAAAAACTCAGAACATGTCCCCAGAGGGGTGCCCATTTATTTTGGATCTAAAAGAGGATGCCAGTGTGACAAGGAGAGACACCAAATCGGAGGATGATTTTTACGGTGGTGACAGCAGCGAAGAGGTACACTGCTTGATGAGTGAAGTCGTTCTAAAGCGCAGTTGTTCCATTAGCTCCGTTGAGCACTAAAACCAGCTGAAATGAAAGAAGGGGAATCAACTGCTATTTATAAAAAGGTGGCAGATTGCAGTGTCAGTCAACAGTTGCCTCGGGTTGTTATGGTAACTCTAAATTGCTGCCTTTTTTATTAACAGTCAGCCAATTTCATTTTTAATTATGGAAACCAGTTTTGGGGTTGTTTTTGTTTTCTCATTTTAATTTTTGTCTCACAGAATGAGAGAAATAACATGCAGTTTAGCTATATGATGGCGAAACCAGTAAAACACTGAGAACACATTGTTCTAGCTCTCTGGGCAGATTGTGCTGCAGTGGCTAAGCATTCTGAATTGATGGTTTTCTGGCTTCCTCACTACCCTACCATCCCTCCACCTTAGACCTATTAAGACTCATTATTTTCCATATGGTCCCAGAGTTTCAAGAGTTGTGCCAATTAAAGTTTAGATAATGAATCATGGATTAGTGCTGGGACTTGCCTTACCCGAGGTTTTCTGTTTGCAATTATTTAGAATACAAATATATCTTATAAATTAGTAAATTCACATAAAGTTTAAAAAAAAACTTGTCATAAACCAAACGGAAAGTAGTTCTGAAACATTTGTTTAAAACTTAATACATTATGATGACTCTTTTCCCTCATATGAAATGAATTTGTGAAATTCAGCTTTGTTCTCTAATGATAGGCATCCCTATTTTCTGTGAAAAATAATTTTCTTAAAAGCAGATTACAGTCAAGTTATGGTTTTGTAAAATGATACAAATTATTTCTATGTCAAAATTATATAATAACAATATATAATAACTATATATTAAATTATAGGTAATATAAATATAGCAAATTATATATTAAGTTATATATAATTATTATATAATAATAATTAGAAAAACTTTTTGTATATGCTTGCAAAAAAATTTTTTTAATAATTATAACTGATCAAGAATTCCCCTTGGACAGCAGGATGTAGATTAGGTTCATTGCTCCTACCTTCAGAGCCAGTTGAGAATATGATGAAATTATTCAGGCAGTAATTATGGTTTTTTGCAACTTTTAATGAGTTTCCACTGCAAGGTGCATGGGGAAATCCTTTTTTTTATAGTATCTTTGCTTCTGAGCGTGGTGAAACTATTAGTAATACCAAACATAAATCTACCACAAATTGCTTTATGCATAAATAGTACATTTGATGCCAACATTTTAAATGTTGCTGTGGACATCTTTGTCCCTTTCATCCTGAATAACATTAAGATATAAAAACTAAAATAAACGTTTGCCTTCAGCATCTAGCACTGCCCCCATCCCAGCTGTCAATTCTTCTACAGTATTAATTGGTTAATCTGATAAATTAATTCATACCATTTCATTAATGGGATAGCCCATCCTCTTCCCATATGCACAGCACCATCTTTCTTACCTAAATCAAAAGAATTCCTTTAATGGTGGAAATTTCAGGGCAGGTGGGAAATGTTAGTCCCTTCCCTGGAAAACTTTGAGAAAAGTTTTATGAAGGAAACTGCCCTTTAAACATCATGGCATGAGGAACTTAGTGTTTTTGTCTATATGAAGGATAAGCCTTGACAAGAAGCAATAGAGCTTCATGGGAAAATGAAGAATACTATTTCTGAATATTTTAGTTTGTTATCACTTGGTGTGCTTTCTTTTGCTACTAGCTACTCTAGTTCTGACATCCTTCATCGTTTATTATTCAAACATATACTAATTACCGACTACATGAAATTGAAAATAAATGTATCACGCATTACCCAAGCTCTGAGTGGCATGGCTATCTGGTCACCCCTGTGCCATGACCATCCAAATGACTAGTAGCATAGGGCTAGAGTCTATACTAGGACCATCTCATTGCTAACACCTGTCCTGGCCCACCTTTAGTTGGAGCCTGCTAAGAGTGGCAGCCAGAGAGAAGGGCAGAAACCTTGCCATATTATACAAGCTTAGGGGTTTATTGTTAGAGGCAGTAACAATATACAAACTATGAAATAGAAAACATGACCAACAAAAATGACGGGTTATGTTTAAACAAGTTTAAACAAGAATTTATGGTGATCAAATTCATTTGTTGGACTTTTTTGGTAATTTTTTTCCTTAGGATCACTTCTCCCGCTTATTAATTGTGTAAGTCAATGGGAAATCGGCTTAGATATTTAAAATGTTTATTTACATATAGTCTTTGAAGAAAAATCAGTTTAGTTAATTAAGCATCCTTACTATTAGTTGTGTTATTTTAGAATTTTATATCTTTAGAGTAGCATAATTATACTTAAGGAAACCAATGTCATGTCATAAATAATGGTGGATGAATGAGGATAATTACATTACTTACTGTGCTTGAAGTTTGTAACTTGTAGTTAAAATACTTCTTTTAGTGGTCAACCATTGAGTATTTTTAAAGGGAAATTAGATATATTCAGTAGCCTGTAATCTAAGAAAAATCAAATCATGTTATCATGATAGCTAGAGGAAAAGTACACATACAGTAGTAAAAGCTAATTAAAATAAGCTTTCAGTGATACATTGATTTTGTAATTTAAGTTCCTAATCCTTAATTCACATCTGAGATCTTCATTAGTGTGAGAGCCTCAAAAGTATGAGTTTTCTTTTTTTTGCATATGCTCTTGTCTTAGTCTTTGCTTTACTATATATTTTATTCCCTAGGCAGCCATGTATACTAATATTCCTGATACTCAATTAATTTTCAGTTTGTACTTCTTATTTGAAAAGCACACTATAGAAATATATAGCTATAAAATCAAGACTACCATGTAAAATGAATTATTCTAGGAAAGCTATTAAAACAGAGTGCCTTTCCCACTATTACAGCATCTGAAAGAAAAAAAAGCCTCCTTTTATTATCATGTCTATTTTGTATTTTATGCCATTATTCCCAATGTGGCTTTGAGTATATGCCTGGTTTACAACTTGAAATAGTTAGCTTTATATTAATATTTTATTACTCCCCTAATTTAATTTTTCATCTAGAAATACTGTCATTTTTTTTCCAAAACTCTGGCTGTGTATCACATATTAAAGTAGATATTTGCAAGGCCAGGTAATTTGTCCTGTATTACAATCCAAATTGGAACATTAAGCCAAAAAATTATCCATAGTTGGACATGAATTATGTGGACTGACTACTTAGAGCATTCAAATTAGCTAGGAAGCTTCCAGATCTTCTCCCCATCTAACTCCGTGGAGGGCTGCAGAGGACAAATTTACCAACAATGGAGTGAAAAGACCCTTTTAGTCCTCCTCAGTTTTCCTTGTATTGTTGCTTTGAAGGTTTGTTTTTTTTTTTTGTTTGTTTGTTTGTTTGTTTTATTTGGCACTCAGCAGTTAAGCTGTTTCATTGCATTTTTTTTCCCTCATAGTTTATATTTCTAGGTTAGTCTATAAACCACTCACCCCATATACTTGACTAGTGAATTTGAATTACTTTCTCACACACATGTACATACACACAATAGAAAGAATATTTACTCCTCTTGAGGCTACTTATATTTCTCTGTAGCCTTTTAAAAATTTTAAATGTCGATGTCTATGTTGGGAAAAAAATGGAAGGACTCTTATTTTGAATATATTGCCTTGCATTTTTGTTCCTGTATATTATGAATTACAACATAACATACTCTAAACCTACCAGGCAAATTTAATATTTATTCTGTGTGTGAAATTTTTTAAGGCTGGTCACAGCTCTCTGTCTTTATTACTATCTTGTGAAGCTCTGTTCCTCTCTGCAAAAGTCAGAGGCCCCTTGGTTCTTGTGACTTGGCTCTTCATTGTGATAGGCAGGAAAAGAAGATTTTTAAAACTCTTGTCTGCTTAGAATATCATTCTACCACTTCTACTAGTAGATAAACATCTTGTGGATAAATATTTGGTTGTGGATAGGAGTTTCTGCAAGAAATCTTTAAAGTGTTATCAGCTAAAAGAGCATGAAGTTTTAACTTAGAGAAAAATATGTTTCTGTCTTAAACAATTAAAAGAGTCTCATCATTTTCCCCAATAGTTTGCATACCCCATAGAGTCCTTCTAACTTCTGCTATTTGTCTGTGAAGCATCACTGGCTACAGGTAAAGATATTTACAAAAGATAGGAGAAAAGATGGTGGAGGAGTAAGGAACCCTATTCCAACCGGTCCCCAGAATTGAGCTAGATATCTACCAAACCACTCTGAACATACACGAAATCAGCCTGAGATGTAAGAAGAGAGATCTGGATCTCTACAAACAGAAAATCACAGGCAGTTGGTTTCGAGGTATGAAACAGGGGGCCATGAGTCTGCAGGCACAAATCTGAAGATAAATGGAAGGGGAAGGGAGCTACCATAAGCACTGGTGCCAGGAAGATGAAACAACACAGGAGTGCAAAAGCCTTCCGCGTTGGGGACATGGGGCACAGAGTCGCAGACCAGTAGCAGTGGGGAAAGGACTTTAGGGCAGCCCCCCAGACTGAAACCTGGAGTCGCGGGGCCACGCATGTGAACTGGGGGCGGCTGGTGGTTATAGAAGCACAAAGGGCAAAGACATGCCCCGACCTGGAGATGAGGACTGGGAGCCTTGCTGAGGGGCGCACAACCCAGGACACTGCAGTTTATAGCAGCACAGATAGAAACGGTGAGAGTGTGGCCTGGAGAGCTCACTGAAGAACAGACCGTGATCTCTCTGCTCTGAGGCAGAAGGTTGGAAATGATCTCTTCTGCTCTGACTCTTGGAAGAGACGCGGAAAGCCTCCAGGGAAAGCCGCCAGAGAACAAAAGCCCCCAAAAAACAGTTTTCACTGAGCCCATCTCCCCCCACAGGGGACAGGGGAACTCTGCCCAAACACGGTTGCCTGAGTAACAGCACAGCAAGCCCCTCCCCAAGAAGACAGGCTGGGAGAACAAGAGGCCAACAACCCTAAGGTCCCTAGAAAACAGGTGCATCTTGCTTGG